AAACAGGGGAAAAGAGAAGATTCCTCACACAGCCTGGAGGTGTGTTTGGGATCATTGTCCTGTAAATGACGCTCCAACTAAACTCAAACCGGATGGGATGCATGTCGCTGTAAAATGCTGTGTTAGCCATGATGGTTCAGTGTGACTCCAGTTTTGAATAAATTCCCAACAGTGTCACCAGCAAAACACCTCCCACACCATCACACGTCCTCATCCATGCTTCATGGTGGGAACCATGCATGTCGAGACCATCCGTTCACTTTTTCTGTGTCGCACAAAGACACAGGCAGGTGGAACCAAAGATCTCAAACTTGGCGAAGCACAGATTTCCACTGGGCTAATGTCCTTTCCTTGTGTTCCTTGGCCCCGATAAAAGACAAAAACACATGATGAAGCCAGATAATTATGCTGTTATCATTCACTTATCATTCAATGCAAGTGAAAAGGTTTCCATTTTTATTTACACCTTTGTGCGCCTTTGTACACTGTGCGCCAGTCTCCTGCAGGCCTGTTAGACAGCATGTGTACATGCTTCTGCAAACCAGAAATCTGATTCACCATCTTGCTTTAAGAAGGCAGAGATAGTGAATATGTGGGGCAAGACAGCTGCACTTAAGTCCCGACTTCAGTTTCACTGCCTATCTCTGCTGTTAGACAGGCCAGGTGCTTCAGCAATTTCACAACAAGAGTCGTTAAAACATGTGCAGAAGTGTCACAAAGACACGCTATAATCCCCTTCTGCAATTCATGCACGATGGGTGAAAGTATCAAGAAGGGCCAGAAAGGTCTCATGAGTCAAAAGTACTCTTTTATTTACAGTCATATTACAAAATCCACCCAGAAAATCCACACACCCACAAGACAAAAAGTCACCAACACAGGTTGGATAAAAATGAAATGACGTCCTCTTTCTTTTATCTCAGATTGCCAACCTTTCGCTGATTTAAGATCCTAATAACTGATCACTTGAATTTCCTGTGAAAACTCCCAAAATGCATTGCATCTTCTGTCGCTGCCTCATGCAGAAATAACCTCAAGCCGACTTGACTTGACTTTTTGGCCGATGTCAGACCAGGCACCACATCAAAAAGAAACAACAATGTTATGTGGCAGCCTTGTGGTCAGAATGCATGTTGCGCTGAGACCACAGCATTTAATCTGCGATTCCAGCTAGGAACCTTTGCTACAAATCACTTACCCTCTCCTCTCAATTACTACTACGCTGTTCTGTCCACATTTGAAAGAGAAAAATCCAAACCACTATACAATATAAGATGTAACACAATTTGATGGTCCACCGAAACTTGGCCAATTTAGCCACAAACTTGGCCACAAAAGTTCATTTAAATGCCCAGCAGAACAAAACTGTGAGAGTACACCTGTGAGGGCAGCAAACCATTTTAAAGTAATATACTTGAAAAAGCCAAAGAGCACATATGTTCAGAATACTGTTTGGACAGGGCAAATAGCTTATCTGGAATGTTTAGAAGCTTGAAGCAAAACTTTCATGTGATACCACATATGCTTAGCACAATATGGAAAACGATGTAAGTGTGTAGCCAGGATGCTGACCTTTGTGCACAAGCCACCACCTAGTGGGTTGTCGGAATAAATGCAAGACACTTAGGTTCATATGATGCTGGTCTAATATATGGAATGAAAAGGTTGCTGTCAGTAATACACTTGTATTATATGATTTCATGATAGAAATCAGCCCTGTGTTTTGACAGAAAAGTACGTTTTGCTTTCCTTTAATAGTATTTTCAACATTCTAAAGGAGTGAAAAAAAATATTGAAATTGTAGAAAAAATACAACCTTACATAAAATTTGTTGTTGGGTCTGTGTTTCCACAAACCCCGCTAATTCTAGAGACTTATTCATCATGAAGAAAACAAGACAGTCGATCGATCGATTATTTGCGCAAGGGAGGCCTCGTCTGTGTCCACCACGAAAATGACCCCCAGATCTGACCTCCTCCTGCTACCTTTTATTGAGAGACAGTTCACACAAAACACGTCAGAACAAAGCCACGCCCCCTTGGTTCTAAGACAAAGCATTTTATGTATATGTGTGAACTTCTGTAAGAGTGTGTGTGTGTGTGTGTGTGTGTGTGTGTGTGTGTGTGTGTGTGTGTGTGTGTGTTGGTAGTGTGTGTGTGTGTGTTGGTTGTTAGACCTCCTGCTGACCAAAGGGTCGTAAACGCAGGAAGCCTACATCAAAAGAAGCAGATCTTCCAGATAGGATGTATCTGCAATAAAACATTACAGCCCCCCACCAGAACCTCGAGAATCTGGGGGGAAGGACAGTGGAGTTTCATCAGTTAAAACACTGTACAAATGGTAAACATAAAAATGACAAACATCTAACAATTCAACTCTAACATTTGTCAAAAACGTAACTCAATGACCCACTATATCTTCGTAATGAATCACTCATCACACTCATATCACTCAGATAACCATACCTGCCACTTTGAGCCTCAGATGCTAAGTCCTCTACATGTATTTTAATCCTTTTTGCAATCAATAAGCTTCTACTTATCAGCTACCAGTTTAACAGATGTAGACACATCTTGTGACAGACCAAAACAGAACTTGTGTGATGACTTCGAGAACACAACAAAGTAAAAGAACAAAAAAAAAATGGAAGTGAATGGCTCCATCTCGTCCAGGTCACAGTCCTTGATGTTTCTGTTGGTAACCTGAGAGTCAGCATCTTTGAGAAACTGTTAGATGTGTGTCCTGATGAATTTAAGGCTTTCAGCCTCTCTACCTCTGTGTGATATTGGAGTGTCTTTTCCTCAGATAAGTAATGATCTTCTTGCCCTTCTCTACTTTTAGGGCAAGATTATTTTCCTGACACCAGGCCACCAGTCCTATCACTTCTCTATCCCGTCCCTACCAGTAATCGGCCCAATCACATATGCAAATGTTATAATTCTGGTATTGATCAGGTGGTGCACACACTCATATGTGAAGACAGCATGTGGCAGTGTACTCAGCACGTGCCCCTGAGTAATACCAATGCTCACAGTTCTGATGTTTGATGTCTGGTTTTCAACTCTGACTGAGTGGGGTCTATCTTACAGGAAGTTCAGAGCTCAGTTACAGAGAAAGGGTGTGAGTCTGAGTAACAGCAGCTTCTCAGAGAGTCTGACAGCATTAAATGCAGCTTCAGTCATCTCACAGCATTTTCACAGATGTGTTACCTTTGATTGGACTGATTCTGTATGCATGTGTGGTGGTGTGAAGGCAGAATACCGGTAAATGTGACTAAATGGTGTTGATAATGCCACCCGGGGAGGGGGTTACACCCCAGGAGAGATCACAGTAGCTAGTGCAAATGTTGTACCAGTTACAAAAGCCCACAGGCTTGTTATTAACAAGCAAAAGTAAGGACAAAACTACTCAAAGTGTAGAGCAGAAAAAAACCTTTTTAGGTAGCAGGGCAGCCCTGCTACAGTACCTAAAACACTTGATTTTCGCCAAGTACTTTTTTACTCTTACTTAAGTAACTTTGTTGACGATTACTTTTCACTTTTACTTGAGTAATAATATTTTAAAGTAATGCTACTCTTACTTGAGTACAATTTTTATACTCGACCCACCTCTGGTTATAAGGACATGTCCTTCAACGCACATATTAAACAAATATGTAAGACTGCTTTCTTCCATTTGTGCAACATCTCTAAATTAGAAATATCCTGTCTCAGAGTGATGCTGAAAAACTAGTTCATGCATTTATTACTTCCAGGCTGGACTACTGTAATTCATTATTATCAGGATGTCCAAAAAACTCACTGAAAAGCCTTCAGCTAATCCAAAATGCTGCAGCAAGAGTCTGACAGGGACTAGAAAGAGAGAGCATATTTCTCCTGTTTTGGCTTCCCTTCATTGGCTTCCTGTTAAATCCAGAATTGAATTCAAAATCCTGCTCCTCACATACAAGGTCTTAAATAATCAGGCCCCATCTTATCTTAATGACCTTGTAGTACCCTTCGCTCTCCTCTGCAGGCCTACTTGTTGTTCCTAGAGTATTTAAAAGTAGAATGGGAGGAGAGCCTTCAGTTTTCAGGCCCCTCTTCTGTGGAACCAGCTTCCAGTTTGGATTCGGGAGACAGACACTATCTCTACTTTTAAGATTAGGCTTAAAACTTTCCTTTTTGCTAAAGCATATAGTTAGGGCTGGACCAGGTGACCCTGAATCCTCCCTTAGTTATGCTGCAATAGACGTAGGCTGCCGGGGGATTCCCATGATGCATTGAGTTTTTCCTTTCCAGTCACCTTTCTCACTCACTATGTTTAAAGACCTCTCTGCATTGAATCATATCTGTTATTAACCTCTGTCTCTCTTCCACAGCATGTCTTTATCCTGTCTTCCTTCTCTCACCCCAACCGGTCGCAGCAGATGGCCCCGCCCCTCCCTGAGCCTGGTTCTGCCGGAGGTTTCTTCCTGTTAAAAGGGAGTTTTTCCTTCCCACTGTCGCCAAAGTGCTTGCTCATAGGGGGTCATATGATTGTTGGGTTTTTCTCTGTACTATGAAGCGCCTTGAGGCGACTTTTGTTGTGATTTGGCGCTATATAAATAAAATTGAATTGAATTGAATTGAATTGAAAAAAATCATCTGGGGTCCACCCTACTATACACTAAATTGTAGATAACCCATGAGGATCCCACTTACCACCCTTTAATAGTTACACAAATTCATCAATTGTCACGGGAAATGAATCCAGTCTCTAATACCTAACAGCCTGTGAGCTTTGCCACCTTGAACAGTAATGAGTGCAAGTTGCAAGAGCTCAAGAATAGACCACAGATGTCCCTCATAACCAACATCTGATTAACAGCAAAAGGAGGGGTGAAAGTTCATGCTGCATTCACAGACACCATGTATGAACCAACATCCACCAAATGTAACCCACTACAATCTACCCCTGGGGTTTGAATCGTCATCCCAGTCCAGCCTGGAAGTAATAAATGCATGAACTAGTTTTTCAGCATCACTCTGAGACAGGATATTTCTAACTTTAGAGATGTTGCGTAAATGGAAGAAAGCAGTCTTACATATTGGTTTAATATGTGCGTTGAAGGACCTGATGATGACCTCTTTATAACCAGAGGTGGGTCGAGTATAAAAAAATTGTACTCAAGTAAGAGTAGCATTACTTTAAAATATTATTACTCAAGTAAAAGTGAAAAGTAATCGTCAACAAAGTTACTTAAGTAAGAGTAAAAAAGTACTTGGCGAAAATCAAGTGTTTTAGGTACTGTAGCAGGGCTGCCCTGCTACCTAAAAAGGTTTTTTTCTGCTCTACACTTTGAGTAGTTTTCTCCTTACTTTTGCTTGTTAATAACAAGCCTGTGGGCTTTTGTAACTGGTACAACATTTGCACTAGCTACTGTGATCTCTCCTGGGGTGTAACCCCCTCCCCGGGTGGCATTATCAACACCATTTAGTCACATTTACCGGTATTCTGCCTTCACACCACCACACATGCATACAGAATCAGTCCAATCAAAGGTAACACATCTGTGAAAATGCTGTGAGATGACTGAAGCTGCATTTAATGCTGTCAGACTCTCTGAGAAGCTGCTGTTACTCAGACTCACACCCTTTCTCTGTAACTGAGCTCTGAACTTCCTGTAAGATAGACCCCACTCAGTCAGAGTTGAAAACCAGACATCAAACATCAGAACTGTGAGCATTGGTATTACTCAGGGGCACGTGCTGAGTACACTGCCACATGCTGTCTTCACATATATGAGTGTGTGCACCACCTGATCAATACCAGAATTATAACATTTGCATATGTGATTGGGCCGATTACTGGTAGGGACGGGATAGAGAAGTGATAGGACTGGTGGCCTGGTGTCAGGAAAATAATCTTGCCCTAAAAGTAGAGAAGGGCAAGAAGATCATTACTTATCTGAGGAAAAGACAATCCAATATGCATCAGTCACACATAGAGAGGCTGAAAGCCTTAAATTCATCAGGACACACATCTTACAGTTTCTCAAAGGTGCTGACTCTCAGGTTACCAACAGAAACATCAAGGACTGTGACCTGGACGAGATGGAGCCATTCACTTCCATTTTTTTTTTGTTCTTTTACTTTGTTGTGTTCTCGAAGTCATCACACAAGTTCTGTTTTGGTCTGTCACAAGATGTGTCTACATCTGTTAAACTGGTAGCTGATAAGTAGAAGCTTATTGATTGCAAAAAGGATTAAAATACATGTAGAGGACTTAGCATCTGAGGCTCAAAGTGGCAGGTATGGTTATCTGAGTGATATGAGTGTGATGAGTGATTCATTACGAAGATATGGTGGGTCATTGAGTTACGTTTTTGACAAATGTTAGAGTTGAATTGTTAGATGTTTGTCATTTTTATGTTTACCATTTGTACAGTGTTTTAACTGATGAAACTCTACTGTCCTTCCCCCCAGATTCTCGAGGTTCTGGTGGGGGGCTGTAATGTTTTATTGCAGATACATCCTATCTGGAAGATCTGCTTCTTTTGATGTAGGCTTCCTGCATTTACGACCCTTTGGTCAGCAGGAGGTCTAACACACACACGCACACACACACACACACACACACACTCACACACACACACACACACACACACACACACACACACACACACACTCTTACAGAAGTTCACACATATACATAAAATGCTTTGTCTTAGAACCAAGGGGGCGTGGCTTTGTTCTGACGTGTTTTGTGTGAACTGTCTCTCAATAAAAGGTAGCAGGAGGAGGTCAGATCTGGGGGTCATTTTCGTGGTGGACACAGACGAGGCCTCCCTTGCGCAAATAATCGATCGATCGACTGTCTTGTTTTCTTCATGATGAATAAGTCTCTAGAATTAGCGGGGTTTGTGGAAACACAGACCCAACAACAAATTTTATGTAAGGTTGTATTTTTTCTACAATTTCAATATTTTTTTTCACTCCTTTAGAATGTTGAAAATACTATTAAAGGAAAGCAAAACGTACTTTTCTGTCAAAACACAGGGCTGATTTCTATCATGAAATCATATAATACAAGTGTATTACTGACAGCAACCTTTTCATTCCATATATTAGACCAGCATCATATGAACCTAAGTGTCTTGCATTTATTCCGACAACCCACTAGGTGGTGGCTTGTGCACAAAGGTCAGCATCCTGGCTACACACTTACATCGTTTTCCATATTGTGCTAAGCATATGTGGTATCACATGAAAGTTTTGCTTCAAGCTTCTAAACATTTCACGATAAGCTATTTGCCCTGTCCAAACAGTATTCTGAACATATGTGCTCTTTGGCTTTTTCAAGTATATTACTTTAAAATGGTTTGCTGCCCTCACAGGTGTACTCTCACAGTTTTGTTCTGCTGGGCATTTAAATGAACTTTTGTGGCCAAGTTTGTGGCTAAATTGGCCAAGTTTCGGTGGACCATCAAATTGTGTTACATCTTATATTGTATAGTGGTTTGGATTTTTCTTTTTCAAATATGAACAGAACAGACGTAGTAGTAATTGCGAGGAGCTGTTTGGTGATTTGTAGCAAAGGTTCCTAGCTGGAATTGCAGATTGAATGCTGTGGTCTCAGCGCAGCATGCATTCTGACCACAAGGCTGCCACATAACATTGTTGTTTCTTTTTGATGTGGTGCCTGGTCTGACATCGGCCTAAAAGTTAAACCAGTCGGCTTGAGTTTATTTCTTTATATGGTAGCGACAGAAGATGCAATGCATTTTAGGAGTTTTCACAGGAAATTCAAGTGATCAGTTATTAGGATCTTAAATCAGCGAAAGGTTGGCAATCTGAGATAAAAGAAAGAGGACATCATTTCATTTTTATCCAACCTGTGTTGGTGACTTTTTGTCATTGTGGGTGTGTGGATTTTCTGGGTGGATTTTGTAATATGACTGTAAATAAAAGAGTACTTTTGTCTTGTGAACCTTTATGGCCCTTCTTGATACTTTCACCCATCGTGCATGAATTGCAGAAGGGGATTATAGCGTGTCTTTGTGACACTTCTGCACATGTTTTAACGACTCTTGTTGTGAAATTGCTGAAGCACCTGGCCTGTCTAACAGCAGAGATAGGCAGTGAAACTGAAGTCGGGACTTAAGTGCAGCGGTCTCGCCCCACATATTCACCATCTCTGCCTTCTTAAAGCAAGATCGTGAATCAGATTTCTGGTTTGCAGAAGCATGTACACATGCTGTCTAACAGGCCTGCAGGAGACTGGCGCACAGTGTACAAAGGCGCACAAAGGTGTAAATAAAAATGGAAACCTTTTCACTTGCATTGAATGATAAGTGAATGATAACAGCATAATTATCTGGCTTCATCATGTGTTTTTGTCTTTTATCGGGGCCAAGGAACACAAGGAAAGGACATTAGCCCAGTGGAAATCTGTGCTTCGCCAAGTTCGAGATCTTTGGTTCCACCTGCCCGGTCTTTGTGCGACACAGAAAAAGTGAACGGATGGTCTCGACATGCATGGTTCCCACCATGAAGCATGGATGAGGACGTGTGATGGTGTGGGAGGTGTTTTGCTGGTGACACTGTTGGGAATTTATTCAAAACTGGAGTCACACTGAACCATCATGGCTAACACAGCATTTTACAGCGACATGCATCCCATCCGGTTTGAGTTTAGTTGGAGCGTCATTTACAGGACAATGATCCCAAACACACCTCCAGGCTGTGTGAGGGCTAACTGGCAAAAAAGGAGAGTGGAGTGCTGTGCCAGATGGCCTGGCCTCTACGGTCACCTGACCTAAGCCCAATGGAGATGTTTTGGGATCAGGTGGACCGCAGAGTGCTCGGCAAAAGGGCCAACAAGTGCTCAGTATCTCTGGGAACTCCTTCAAGACTTTTGGAAAACCATTTCAGATGATGACCTCATAAAGGACCTTGGACCACTGGCCAACACACTGGCCAGTCCTTCTTCTACTTGGCCCAGTTGAGACACTTCTGACTTTGGCTCAGGCTCATAAGGGGTTTGACCCGAGGAACCCAACAGTTGTAGCCCATCTCCCAGATGCGCCTGAATGTGGTGGTTTTTGGAGCTGTGACTCCTGCCTCATTCCAGTCTTTCTGGATCTCTGCCAGATTCTTGAATTTCCTCTGGCTGATAATCCACTGAAGGCCATGGTCATCTTGGTCATTTTGCCTGTCCACTAGACTTTCCATTGATATGCTTGGACACAGCACTCTGTGAGCAGCCAGCCTCCTTAGCTATGAACTTTTGTGGCTTACCCATCCAATGGAGGGTATCAATGATTCTCTTCTGGCCAGTTGTGAAGTCTGCAGTCTTCCCCATATTGAATCTAACTGGGGCAATTGAACCAAATTGAAGCAATTTGATGACACCTGGGAAAACCTGTAAAATTTGGGCTGATGTCTTCACAGTATTCTAATTCCTGATTTTGTGGGTTTTATGAACTGGATGCCCAAATTACATACAAAGAAACAACTAAGTACTTGAAATCGTTTCAGTTCTGGCCCTTTCAGTTGCAATTTATTTGTTTTCCAATGTTAACTTGTCATATTTTAGTAATACGTGAACATCTGTTATAGTTACGTTTTCATTTCATATATAACATCGGTTTGTTTTAAGTGTTTTTCTTCTGAATTTTCTGGAGTATAATGTGTAATGTTGATAATGCACAATGCAAGGTGCCACATGATTCATTACTGAAGAATGTAAAAAACAGTTTAAAATGGTTTTCATATCATTTATTTTGAAACTTTCCATTAAATGGTTTTCAAATTTAACTCTATGTGTTTCTTAGTTTGAGACTAGTTGGTTACTCTATCCCCCCTCGTTTAGTTGACTAAGCAATTAATTGCCAGGAACATCCCTGGTGTGCAGATGATTTAGGTCGTGCTAATAAGAATGGTTATGTTACCACTGCCATTTCCAGCTGAGGGTTTTTTTTTCTTTAATCTGAGTGGAGATGTTGTCATTGAGAAACTGATACTGCGAACCTGAGCCACCACTAGGCAGAGATGGGAAGTAACGATGTACAAATACTTCATTACTGTGCTTAAGTAGAATTTTCAGGTATCTGAATTTGTGGTCATTTTTTTGACGGCTTTTTACTTTTACTGCTTACATTTTCACTGTGATGATGTCACTTTCATTGTGACATCATCATCCCATAAGCCAATGCAGGTTTCACAAGACATTTTTGAATGAGGACATATTTATGTATTTGAATTTGTAATCTCTGTTATTTTTGTAAGAAAAAAACAACCCAAAATTGGGGAAATTATATACAATGTATTGTGACACATATTCTCTATGACAATTTCTCCCAAAAACATAAATTGCACGGCAGAGTCCATGAATATATATGTAAAAGCTTGTTACATAGTAGAAGTATTTCAAATCAACATAAATTATTTACTTTCTAAATAAAGTAATTTTTCTTGCAGTTAGTGCACTTTAGCTCTCTGCGTCTAAAGGTTTGATCTTGATGTGGATGCCATTGAGTGAGCGGAGAACCAGTCGAGGGATGATCTTGGGTTTCATAGTGGGCTCCGCTATGAGCTGGTATCGCTTCAGTGTCAGAGCTGTCACCACTTTCATCTCATTCATAGCAAAGTTCTGACCGATGCAGTTTCTGAGGGAGGAAAATATTAAATGTAAGAAATATACAAGTGAATATTCTAAAGAACTGAAAAATGATGAAAATAGTTTGATCCTTCTGAGATTAGGACATGAGGAATTTGAATAGGAGGGATGAGTATAGTATGTTATTTTTTAACATTCAGGGCCAAAGGTGCTTGCATTTTAAATGGGATCAATCTTAGATTACAGTGAGTTCACCCTTTCCCCTACTTGCTTTAGCCCATCATAAAACCAGTTTTTATTGTGTTGATGTAAATGGGGTCAGTGCTAAGTTACACATTCACATACTTGAGACTACTGCAAGCAGTCTCTATACAGTGATATAGTTTCAGGTGAGGACAAACCTTGGCCCAGCTGAGAAGGGCACAAACGCATGAGGAGATCTCATGGCAATGTTCTCTGGTAGGAAACGCAGAGGGTCAAAGACCTAATGTAATACAGGACAAAGAAAGAGAGCAGTGTTATGTCTATTACTTGTTTTCTGAACCTCATCGCCCTTATCACTTGTGCAGAGAAAACTGAATTCTGACACATAATAAAGTAAGTCATTAAACCAGCTTGAATCTGTCCTGAGGTCCACTTTGGCACCAGGGACCTACCCACCTCAGCAAATACAGCACTAGTAATTAATTTAATGCACCAGTTTCATGATTGCTTCTTCAGTTATTTGATAAATTATTTGCAGCCTTTTGAGCAGAGTGCTGAAAAACTTCATAATTTTATTTCATCATAGATTCTGTTGATGATGTATTCCATGTAGTAAGTTGTGCTGGGAATAAAATTGTCTTTACTTACATTAGGGTTTTCCCAGACAGATGCATTCCTGTGAATTCCATACACACTTATTCCAACAACAGAACCTACATTTGAAAGAAATGTGTACTTAGTTTATTATTATTAAAAGATTATAGGATGTGTCTAGCTGATCATTATCATACAAACTAAACAAACATACACCATATCCTCCTATGGCATTCCTAAGCCCATGCTCACCGTTTTAGTTCTGGGAAGGAGAGAGACTTTGCTTTACTGAAGAAAGGACTGGATAGTGTTCTTGGGCCTCACAAGCACTTTTCCGAGGATTATAAATATCAGATCTTGCTCGATCACTTGAAGTTCCCAAGTGACTGGATCAAAGATAAGAATAAATGTTGGAGATGTGGCTGGAATCATTCTGCTGAAGGCATGCTTAAGAAACCCTGCAGCACTTGTGGTGAGCAACACCTCCTTGTATAACATGTCCTTGCCAAGGGTAAAGGACAAAATCCCAATATTCTGACCATGTGTACTGCATCCAGTGTCATCTATGTTGACCATCCCAGTCACTCCGGTATGGTGATGTTGAAGGTGGTAAGAGTCAACTCCACAATGGGAAGAGGACCATGGACACCTTGCCGTGCTGGATGACGGTTCAGAGAGAACCATAAAATTGCCTGCTGCTGTGAAGTTCCTTGGCCTTGCCCAGACAGATGAGGTTCTGGCCCTACAAACCATTAGACAAGATGTCCTGCAGCTGAATGGGGGAAGCATATCATTGGAGGTGTCCACTAAAGGTAAGCCAAAGATGAGGCATCAAATACTGAATGCTTTCACAGCAGAACAACTGGCTCTAGCTGAGCAATCCTGTCCAGTGGAAACACTCAAAAAGAAGTACAGCCACCTACAAAGACTTCCCTTCAAAGGTTTCAGCCGGGTGAAACCTATGATCCTGATTGGATCAGATCACCTCCACCTTCTCACTCCTGTTTGACCGGTGATCCGGGGACCACCTGGAGGGCCAGTAGCAGTCTGTACTGAGCTGGGGTGGGCGCTACAGGGACTCGCCAAAAGTCTATCACATCCAGCGGATGAACAGGCATGCTTATGCTCGTCTTTCATCACACAGACACCACAGCTCTACAAAAATATTGAAAGGCTGTGGCAAATTGATGTCCTCTCTTTCAGAAATGAAAAGGAGGTCACTAGGTCAAAGGAGGACAAGTAGGAAATAGATATCCTTGAATCAAAGACCGGGTACAGTTAGCTACTCCATTGCTTCGCTGCAAAGACTTTCCTCAGGTGAAGGCACCTCAAGAGGCTGTCATGGCTCTTCAAAGAGCCAATAAGCATCAACTATGCAAGGACCCCAGCAGAGCACAGACATACAACCAGGAGTTCAAGACAGTGGAGAAGGCTGGCAATTTGGTAAAGATGACTCCAGAGGAGGTGAATGGTTCAACTAAATCCTGGTATATTCCACGCCATCTTGTGGATCACAACAACAAAACCTGCCTAGTCTTCAACTGCACCTTCCTGTACCAGCAAACTACTCTTAATGACCTCCTGCTGCCAGGCCCCACGCTTAGCCCTTTGGCGTGTTACTCCGATTCCGCCAGCATGCGGTGGCCATAAGCTGGGATATAAAGGCCATGTTCCATCAGGTACGTTTGCTTTCCAAAGATCAGCCTCTGCTTCGCTTTCTTTGGAGGGATGGACAACAGGAGGATCCACCTAATGTGTATGAATGGTGACTGTTACCATTTGGCATGACCTGCAGCCTTTGCTGCACCACTTATGCTTTACAGCAGCATGTGCAACACCACCGTGAGGGGGAATGAAGATGTATACGAATCTGTCCACACTGCCATTTGTGTGTCCATGTGGACAACTGTCTCCAGTTGCTTCTGACTCCACACCAAGCTAAACAACTCCTGGACAAAACAAGGCAACTACTGGGCATGGGAGGATTTGAAATACTGCAGTGGGCCAGTAATGTGCCAAAGGAGGTGTCCTACCTGCCTACTACTGCCCGTTCTGACAGCTGTGAGCTCTGGCTGACTTCTTACCAAGCTGACCCACAAGAGTCGATGCTTGGATTATGTTGGCATTGCCCCACTGATACCTTGCCCACAGCACCAACTCTTCGCAATGCGTACAAGGTGTTTGCTAGCCAATATGACCCTGTAGGGTTTCTCATTCCCTATACCACTAGAGGGAAGATTCTTGTACAGTCTATGTGGCTGGGATGAACCTGTCACCTGTGTCCTTTGTGCCGCCTGGGTAGAATGGAAGAAGGAGCTACCATACTTGCAGAGCATTACCATACCAAGGTGTCATATGCCACCTGTTACAGACTCTCTAGTTTCACCTTTGAGCTGCATGTGTTCTGTGATGCCTCAGAGAAAGCTTATCTGAGGACCACAGATTGCCACGAACATGTCAGCACTACATTCCTGATGGCAAGATCCCGATTCGCTCCTCGGAACAGATTGCCCACGCCTCGGCTGGAGATCAGTGCTGCTCTCACTGGAGCGCAGCTTGCTAACACTCTCCAAACCTAGCTTACTCTACCGCTGCAAAATACTATCTTGTGGACTGACTCTACTACTGTGCTGAGTTGGTTGCAGTCTAATTTCTGCCATTACAAGGTCTTTGTCGGGACTTGAATTGCTGAAATCCAGGAGCTCACTGGTTCTCACCAATGGAGGTATGTCATGTCAGTGGAAAACCTGGCTGATGACATCACAAGGGGGAAGGGACTCTGTAGTCTTTCATCAGCCAGCCATTGGGCTCAGGGCCCCCAGTTTATGCAACAAAGTTCAGTGCACTGGCCCTACTGGTAGGGCTGAGACTTCAGATGAGAGGTTGTTATGTGGCCTTGTCACAGTGGCAAAGTCTCTTACTCCAGCCCCAGGAACTTCACATCTTGGGAGGAGCTTGTGAAAGCCACTTACCATGCTCATCACAGGGCAGCTTCTCCTCCAATAACTGCCACTGATCGTGTGGAAGCAGAGATAGCCATCTTAAAGTCAGCTCAATATGTTTCCCTGAAGATGTGATGGCCCTGATGAAGGGAAAACCACTGTCCCCAAATAGTCAACTTTGTTCGCCCTGCCTTCAATATGATCCGCTTACTGGCCTGATAAGGGTTGGATGTCACCTGAGATGTGCTGAAGGTCTGGACTCAGACACCATACACCCTACTGTGCTACCTCCCGAACACCCACTAACTAAGCTCCTTGTCCAGTACTTTGATGTGATTTTGTTGCACCCTAGTCCACAGCGTGTCTTTGCAGAGATAGGGCACATTTATTGGATCATCAGAGGTTGACAAGTAATCTGGAGACATCAAAGACAATGTGTAGAGTGCCAGAAATTCTCACCAAAATGGCCGATTTGACCACAACAAGACTCCAGATCCACAAACCTGCTTTCTGGTCAACTGGAGTTGATTGCTTTGGTTCCTACACGATCAAGATAGGCCGGAGGCATGAGAAGCGCTGGGGCTAAAAAATGTCATCTCTGTGGCCCATTTTGGGTAATGCTTTAATAAATGTGATTGCTCTTAAGAAGCAGTATCAGGTTGATGCACTGCCTTAGCAGATTTGTTGTGGAGGAATTTGTGGCCAGCTTTATTACCGTTTAATCTTTATTCATGTTCTACTGTATTTCCTGTTCTTGATCGCAGAAACCACACCATATCACCCCTCCACATCCTCCTATACCATGCCATATCTCCTTGTACCTTCAATCCGAGTATAAATAAACTCCACCTCTTACAATCTACTCCCTGGATGTCAGCCTCTCCTTCTGACCAAGGATAACTATTGTAGCACAACCCAGCATTAGTCTGATGTGCACCATTCTGTACAGTGAGGTTGCAGAGTGCATAAAAATCTCCAAAGCTCTGCTGACTCAGTAACTGCAGAGCTCTAAACCTCCTCTGGCATCAACATCAGCACAAAAACTGTGTGCCTGGAGCTTCATGGCTCAAGGATTCCCATGGCTAAGCAGTTCCAGTGAGTGTAATGTGTAGGCGGCGGTGTACTTTCTGCCCATATAATGTATATGATAATAATCTGGTGCCAACATTTAAATACTCCCATTTGGAAGAATGAAGCACTGACAAAGCAATTACGCCACACGTTTAAGAGATTTATACTAGTTTATAGAAAAGA